CTCTCTCTCTCTCTCTCTCTCTCTCTCTCTCTCTCTCTCTCTCTCTCGTCTCTGAGCCTCGTCCAACACCAGCGTCTCCATCGACTCTGAACCCGCTCAGCGTTCGGTCCGTCATCCTGCAGCGAGACGTGGAAGCTGAAGCGGTTCATTGGCTGAAGGCTGTTTTTTTTCTAATAAGACAAACCGTTTGGCGAGGCGCCGTCATGACGGCGGACACGCGTGGCGTTCTGATATGCAAACTGTCAAAAGTGTTAAAAAACAAAAATCTCATTTTTGCAGAGATTCTTTTGCGAGGAGGTGGCAGAGAGAAAAACAACACACTGGTTCTGTGACACTGATCGCACCGGAGGACTAACAGATTCGTTTCTATCGCCGTCTCGCTGATAATGAAGCCGTCGTACAAAGCTTCAGCCTCTGTAGACTTTTAAAACTCTAAATAAAAACAGACAGCAGCAGAGCGGCAGCCCATTGATCCATCTTATCAAGACAACTTATTTAGATATTCATGGTGACCCCCTGAACTTTTAGCTAGCACCACCACGAAGCTCTTATTGACATTTTTGAACAAGAATTAACGGGAATACTTTTTTACAGGCAGAGCAAAGCCATTCATGCCCAGCCAGTTGTGTAAGTTACAAACATACTTGCGCTCATCTGTGAGTCCATTAAAGTGAGTTGTGGTCAGGCTCATTGTTGGCCCGTTGCGATCTTGAAGCAGCAGAACCAACCAACAAAACCCTCCAAAGTCAATGGTGGAGTATTTTCCTGCTATTCAAAGGGTGCATTACACAGATAATAAGATGCACCTACAGAAGCAGGTACATAATGCCCTAAAGCATCCAATGCTTTATGGTCTGTTTGACTCTAAATGGACCATAATTCACTAAATGAACATCATGCTGTATTGAAGAAGACTTGAAACTAGAGATTGAGACCATAAACTCATGTTTACAATGTTTACTGAGGTAATAAATCAAGAGAGAAGTAGAGTTATTTTCTCATAGACTTCTATACAACCAGAGGAGTCGCCCCCTGATGGACATTAGAGAGAATGCAGCTTTAACACATGAAGCATCACTCGGCAGAAGGTCTGACTGAGAAGAATTCAATTCTACATAAACATGGATGTCATCTGCATAGCAATGACAAGAGACACAGCAAATCAATGGATGATGTGTCCTACAGGGAGCATGTAGAGGCAGAACAAGACAGGACCAAGAACTGACCCTTGAGGAACTCCACAGGTCAGAAGAGACTTTGTCAGCAATTGAAAAAAGTTACAAATAGTTCAACTTGTGAGGTGATGAAAGGAGGAACTCCTATCAAAATGGATTTAGAGACCAGGAATCTGTGAAAGCATGAATGAATACTCCTCCTGCCTGTCTATTACATTTCACTGTATAAAAAGGCCGTCAGAGAGTTGTTTCTTATCCAATCACAACCAAACTGTTCCCCAAAACATTATTAAATCCATTATGTCGCTAACTTTTATCTTGGGAACAAATAGAAAAAAGATCAGTTCATTGTCGTATCAAAGTTTGTGCTTTGTTCCCGGACTTGAGGCTCATTTCACTAAACAGCATCACGCCGTCTCCACGACTGAAAACAGCTTCAATCACAGCACCATCTGTCTTTCACGCTGCATCTTAGCATCAAATCAAGCGCTGACATGCTCGCTGAGTGTAACGGTGCATCAGCTGACTGCCTGCAGTGCAGAATGAAGGATGTAAAGTGTAAATGTCAGCGCGCTCTAACCTGCTTCTCTCCCAGCTCTCTCCTCAGTCTGTTCTGCCACTGCAGCGCCTGCATCACGATCGCCTCCCACCTCCTCTCCAGGTTGATTGACAGCAGCTGCAGGGCCTCCCGGTGCTGCTCCGCCTCTGGGCCCACCTCCGCCATGGGGCCCGACTGTCCCAGAGGTGGGGGATTACAGAAACAGTTTTTGTCAGAATCATAATAGCTGTTATCGCACTAATCATATGATTACATTTCAAGAATGTAGAACGATATCATTTCTCTCTTCAAGGTTATGCTGATTAATCAGGTTTTTTTTTCATTTATTCTCCACGGGATCATAAAGGAAATATAAAAAAAAAAAAAATATTAAACAAACTTAAATGCAAACATTTTTTTGTAAATTGAGTACAAATAATAAATGTTTGCCAAATGTGTCTTCTTCTGGGAATTTATATTCTTCTTTGAATAACAGAACGGGGGTGTCGAGGTGAAAGTCTTGGATTTTGTGGGGTCATTTGTGATATATATATATATATATATACAAATATGTATTATATATATTTTACCCACCTGGCTCTGTTGCAGAAGCTTCTGGCAGAGTTTCAGAACGGAGGCGACTCCTCGACGTCGGGCTCGAACCTCCGAACACAGAGACTGGAGGGTGACACCAGAGAGAGAAGGTCAACAAAAAACTCAAATTATTTTGATTCAGATACAAACACAACAATGGTCCAGCTGAAATAAAGTTGAACTTCCAATTAAAGCGATTGGATAAACTGGAAACAACCACTACCAAACCTGTCTCATCAACTGACTGCTTCTTAAGTCATCACACTTATTAACACACAGCAATTCATTTGGTTCGTCAAATATTATTATAATTGACAGATACGATGGTTCTGTAATAAACTACTAAAGTGAAAAACCAACAAAAGATAAACACGTTCCTCGTCATCTCCTCAGTTCTGTGCGGTGAAATTTAGGACAATCACAACAACGAATTAGCATAAAGTCAAATTCAGTGATCAGCAGTAACAGTGCATAAAATAAATGACACCACCCC